GTGTAATTTCTTCAGTGTTGTCACATGAAAAGATATAATAAAAATATTTACAAAAATGTGAGGGGTGGACTCACTTCTGTGAGAGACTGTATATAGTGACCACAGTTTACAGAGCACTTTTTAGATTGTACATTCACATCTGTCCCTACCTTATATACACATCGAACCAGTTTGGACAGCAACCAATTAACCTACCAGCGTGTCTTTGGAGTACAAGAGGAAACCCATGAGACTATGCAAACGCTATGCAGGCAGTGTCTTGGTTGGACCTTAGTGCTGCAAGGAAGAAGTGCTAACCACTAAGCCAATATACACAAGGCAACTTAAGAGCTAAATTCTAACAATATATTTCAGTTTTGCATGGCTGTTGTATAGTTCTATCATATACTGGCTTGTTAAGCAAAATATCTATACCAGAATTTCCAGCTCTACCTTGCTGTCGCATCCTTTTGCAAAGCCTTTGCAGGTATCCTTTCTGGGAAAGGAGATTAGGCTTGTGAACTCTCTACTAAGATGACACCTAAACACATAACTAAATTGTTAAGATGAGGAAGTGTACCTAAAGAAAAAAAAAGAGCTACATACGGCACAAAAAACAAGAACCAAATTCAAAGCGGATAATACAACAGACTTAAACTGCTAGACTGAGATACTGAATGTAGAATGGCCAGAGCATAAAACATAAGTAAAAAGACAGTGTTGGGAAACCTTGCTGATGCAGGTAAGGATGATTTAGTAGGGAACACAATAGCATATTTAGTGTTTGCCCCAATTTGGTAGCAAAACATGCTGATTTTGTTATTTGAGATTCCCCCTTCACATTAGTTAACTGAGGAATATTTTTTCCTATACCTAGGATTGGGCAACCATGTAACCCTCTTATCTAGGTTTCTCTTTTCTGGTTTAGTGTGGCTTATGTTAATGTGCACATATTTGACAGTTGAGTGCTCTCCTACTTGTTAGTAATTTAGGTCACTGCAGCCAATATCTAGAGGGCACATCCATACACACAAAGGCAATCCAAAGCAACTCCAAATAGAAAAGAAATTCCAGCCTGTCTAGATAAATAGTCCAGCAACACCCACCTATTTAGGAGGGTATTTGGTTTATTAATATGAGTTTTAAGTTGCAATGGAGAGGTGAAAAAAGTTCCAGGACAAGGTCATCTGTTGCTCAAAGCGAACATGTTAAACTGAGCTCCACTAGGATGTGTGATGGCAAACCCCCCCCCCCCCAATAAAAGAATTCCCCCTCCTCCCAGTATAAACCCCCCCCCCCCCCCCTTCCTGCTGAAATCCCCCCTCCTCCCAAATCCCTTCTGTAGCACAAATCCCCTACTCCTAATATCCCCACTCCTACCACTAATCCTTCTCCCCTTCTAGCACAAATATTCTCATCACCAGCACAAATATTTGTTATCCCCCCCCCCCCCCTTAGATGCAGTATGGCAGATGGCCATATGATATTGTTCTTCCCAGGATCCCCTCATCTTAACATATCACAGTTAAGAAGGAGAGCGTTGGGGGAAGCTTGCCTCGGCTTTGCCTTTTGAAACGTGTAGTTAGACGCAAGGCGCTATACAGGTCCAGTGCTGTGATGCATCCCTATGGAACCCAGTCCCTTAAGACCCCTTCAGGAGTATAGCCACCAAGACAGATGAAACCTGGACTTTTTCTACAGTCAAGCGTTTATTAGCAACAAATCCACTTTTATTAATGTAGAACATCATCAATTTTTAAAGAGTTGAAAAGGTTTGGCATACAGTTGCAAGAAAAAGTATGTGAACCCCTTGGGATTACATGGAGTTTTGCATGAATTGGGCATAAAATGTGCTCTGAACGTCATCTAAGTCACAACAATAGAAGAACACAGTCTGCTGAACATAATACTACACAAACATTAAATGTTGCCATGGTTTAATTGCACATAACATGTAAACATTCACAGTGCAGGGAGGAAAAAGTATGTGAGGCCCTAGCTTAATGACTTCTCCCAGAGCTAATTGGAGCCAGGAGTGAGCCAACCTTGACTCCAATCAGTGTGATGATATTGGATGTGTTGCTGAGAGCTGTCCTGCCCTTAAAAAACACACACCTGTTTTGGGTTTACTTGTTTCAAGAAGCACTGTCTGATGTGAACCATGCCTCGCAGAAAAGAGCTCTCAGAAGACCTACGATCAAGAATTGTTGACTTGCATGAAGCTGGAAAGGGTTACAGAAGTATCTCCAAAAGCCTTGATGTTCATGTGTCCACGGTAAGGAAGACTGTCTACAAATGGAGAAAGTTTAGCACTGTTGCTACTCTCCCTAGGCGTGGTCGTCCTGTAAAAATGACTGCAAGAGCACAGCGCAGAATGCTGCATGAGGTAAAGAAGAATCCCAGAGTGTCAGCTAAAGACCTACAGAAATCTCTGGCACATGCTAACATTTTTGTTGAAGTTTTGTTTGAAAACATTAAACAAGAATGGAGTACATGGAAGGACACCACGGAGGAAGCCATTGCTATCCAAAAAGAATATTTGCAGCACGTTTGAAGTTTGCAAAAGAGCACCTGGATGTTCCACAGCACTACTGGCAAAATATACTGTGGACAGATGAAACCAAGATTGAGTTGTTTGGGAAGAACACACAACACTATGTGTGGAGAAAAAAAGGCACAGCACACCAACATCAAAACCTCACCCCCACTGTAAAACATGGCGGAGGGAGCATCATGGTTTGGGGCTGCTTTGCTGCCTCAGGGTCTGGACGGATTGTTGTCATTGATGGGAAAATGAATTCCAGAGTTTATCAAGACATTTTGCAGGAAAACGTACGACCCTCTGCCTGCCAACTGAAGCTCCGCAGAGGATGGGTGATGCAACAGGACAATGACCCAAAGCATACAAGTAATTCAACAAAACAATGGCTGCAACAGCACAGAATATGCCTTCTGGAGTGGCCCAGTCAGAGTCCTGACCTCAACCCGATTGAAATGCTGTGGCATGACCTTAAGAGAGCGATTCACACTAGACATCCCAAGAATATTGCTACACTGAAACAGTTTTGTGAAGAGGAGTGGTCCAAAATTACTCCAGATCGTTGTGCAGGTCTGATCTGCAACTACAGGAAATGTTTGGTTGAGGTTATTGCTGCCAAAGGAGGATCAACCAGTTATTAAGTCCAAAGGTTCACATATTTTTTCCTCCCTGCACTATGAATGTTTACATGTTATGTGCAATTAAACCATGGCAACGTCTAATGTTTGTGTAGTATTATGTTCAGCAGACTGTGTTCTTCTATTGTTGTGACTTAGATGACGTTCAGAGCACATTTTATGCCCAATTCATGCAAAACTCCACGTAATCCCAAGGGGTTCACATACTGTTTCTTGCAACTGTATCTCAGCTTTATGAATACTTTTCACATGAATGGATAAGTTCACTTTTTTCGTAACATGTTACTGTAGAACCAATCCCCGATCCCCCATTGTGACAGCGAGAGGGGGATTTTCTCTCCCCGCTTACCGTCACACTTAAAAAATAACACGGCCGTGCAGGGTTCTGCCCGTCCGGTCGATTTATTCATATGCAGAGTTCTGTGAATGGGATGCTAAAAGTACCAACAGCCTTTAGGGCTCTCGACTTTCTCAATGAACTACCACGGCGCTGTTGAGCGCTCTGGTAGTTCATTTATTCTTCCTAGCAGTGTAAAACTTCCTGCCCGTACAGTTTACTGGCAGACAGCTTACACTGTCATGCTGTCTGCTGATCAAGGGTGCAATGCTTTCCAGGAGCCTACAAAAAAAATTGTAAATGCACATTTTTTACCTGCAAAAAATGTGCATTTATTTATTTTTACACATGAACTTATCCTTTAAGGAGGTTTCTCTTCAATTACTGTCTCACAAACATGATCGTAAGTGAATGGAGATCTTTCCAAGGAAGGTGTATCCCATTTTTGAAAGCTTTCCCCATTGGAAGCAATTTCCTCTACATTTGTTTCAGTGAGAACTGTAAAATGTTGGAACTCTTCTGTCCCCTTCACCATTCCTTTCTGTCCTGAAGACAATAGACCATTTGACAGATGGTAAGGATGAACCTCTTGGTTTGAGTGCTTTGACATGTTCCCACCAACATGGCGCGTATATCCGGCCACTCGGCGGGTTGGCTTTAACACTGAGTGGCCACATGTATGCGTCTATCGGTAAACCGTTTACTGTGCCGCGCTCCCAGCACAGCAAATAATATGTATTGAAATGGTTTTCCAGCAGGACCATTTGATACAAGCCAGTCTAACAACTAGCTTCTGTTGAACAGACAGGGGTACACACCTACTGAACTGTATGATTTTTGGTTTTTGTATACCCAGCTTTAGTTTTATGCTTATGTGGATTTCTGTTGCAATTCATGCACATTTACAACTATACCATTTTAAAACAGCTTATACTGAAACCAAACATACGCGCGGCAGACTGTTTATTGTAAACAACACTTTGTATTAACATAACCGTTATCACGGCACTTTTAGCAACACTCCTACAAAAATAAATTTACGGCTACAAAAATTGCTTTGTAAAATACTTTTCTTATGCTATGCACAATTTCAGATGTAGTTTCACTAGTGGTGCCTATCCTTTTTTTAAGATGGAGCCCATTTTTTGGGTACCGGCTGTGCACCTTGGTTCTATGCTACACTTCTGTCAGACAAGCAAAAAGACCTTTGACCTGATGATCTTGTAAATATCTAACTAAATGAAGCACGAGTCATACTTTGGGAATTTAATCTCCATCTCAAAGTCTTGTCATCCTTTTTTGTTCTGCTCTGCTGAGAATCTGGTCGTGTGGTCACATTGCCAGTTTCCTCTTTTGTTGGACTGCAGTAGACCATACACATAAGGGATAAATGCTGAGTCAGTTTTACCATGCCTATTATGGAAGCTCCACCAACAAGCATAAGAGTTGGCCAAAAAAGGCAATGAAACACCACTGAGCGATCGTACTTTTTAATCAGTATGACATCTTCTGGTTTACTGTCATGTCGATGAAAGCATGCGAACGGAGTGTCATTCTTGCGTTCGAAGTACTGTTTCACATCTAGAACACCATCCAGTAGATCATTCTTGTCTCGTTGGCACTTTGGAACATAAAAGCACTTCATGAAATAAAAAAATATTAGGATTATCAGTACTGATCGGTTTTTAGAAAACTGAACTTATGTACACTGTTGGGTACAGTTTCTAGGTTTTTCAGACACAATCAGATCAAAAGTAATGAGGTCCATATAATATATACTATAAGTAGATATGGTGGTGTAACGCTAATACCATGTGGTGATTGACATAAAACATTAAATAAAGGACTTGATTTTAAATGGGTGAATACACAAATTATAACTATATAGGTGTACAGTGGTGCACCTAATGTGTATCCCACAAACATGCCATCAAGAATGTGACTAAATAAAAGTGATAGTTGATTTAAGTGAAACAAATATTAACCAAATATAAATGCACATGATCATAAATGAACAATATTCATAAATCATATAGCACAAAGTCCCAAACTTATAACTGTGATGAATCAATCTTTGACCGTGAAAATTAATACGTGCTCAAGTGCATCAGACCATCTGTCACCATCTAGCGTGCACACTTACCTCCAATCTTTGACCCTCAAGGAGTCATAAGGCATAAAAAATCACCAGTTAATTACAGGTGGGATGAATCTCACTCTCTGGATGGACACAGGATCAGCTTCCACACAGCCCAGGGTTAATCAACCATTACAATGGTAAGGCACCATTACAAAACTCCTCCACTCTCCCAATGGCTCATAAACAGGGAATCAGAGAAAAAGCCACCATAGTGTAATAGAGTAAAGTTTATTATAACATACACAAATGCCAAAGACCTACACATTAAAATCGGGTCATAGACCCACCAGGCATGAACTGTATAACCCAAAGTCAAGGTGCTTGCATAGGGAGTCCAAAAATGGCTGCCGTCCATGCGTAACTTCGTCACCACTCTAGTCCCAAGACTTCTGTAACCAATGCCATCAGTATGTTTTGCAACAATACGCTTGCAAAGGTCTTGAGAGAGCTGTTTGCTTTTACCCATCATGAGATTTTTCTTGTGTGACACCTTGGTAGTGAGACACATTTTTATAGGCCATCAGTTGAGACTGAACCAGCTGATATTAATTTGCACGGACAAGGGGCAGGATTGCTTTCTAATTACTGATAGAGTTCTGCTGGTATCTTGGCTTTCCATGCCTTTTTGCACCTCCCTTTCTTCATGTGTTCAATAATTTTTCCCAGTGTCATTCCATCTTATTACACACAACTTAATTAATTTCTGAACTAATTTTTTGGTTTCTGTGTGTATGGATTGCATGGGTTGTTACCGACGTGGTAAAAATGTCATATCAAAAGCACCTTTAGAAATGTATTTACCTAGAAAAATGGTGACGTGTTCAATACTTATTTTACCCACTGTATCTCACCCACTTTCAGGTGCCATTGTAAGGAAATTATTCAATGTTTTTTCACTTTACCTGTCAGTGGTCTTAATGTTATGGCTGATTGGTGAGAGAGATGCATTTTATTCAACCCTCAAAGCACTGGTTTATTTTTATTTAGACAACAAGACTCAATACGTCTCTGCCAGACCTCTGCTTAAAAAAAAAAAAAAAAGGTTATTTACCAGTTTGCATTCTGCATATGAACAAGCAAAGCCGTGTTCATTTTAATGAATAGGGGCAAGTGTCTGTAGAAGGACAACCCAGTATACCCTATCAAAGTCATGTAACCAGGCTCTCCTATAATCTGCAGCGTTATGCAGAAACCACTCTAAAGGATGCTGCAGGCTCCATGCCCTACATTTTATGATTTGATTTAAAACAACGTGGGGTAAAAACTGGGTTATCCATTGTCTATAACAAGCAGCCATCTTAAAGCCTAAGTTTACCTAGAGCAAACATTTTTTTTTTTTTTAAATCTGCACAAGGGATATTACCTGCAGTGAGTGGTGCCCCTTGTGCTCTTGCATCGTCCTTTCGCTGAAATCTTCCTCCACTGATGCCCCCCACCCCCATTGCTGTAGTTTTCTGGCGTGGCGGGAGTTAATAGAACTAAGGAACCGTGATAAGCACTCTTAAAGAGAATCTGACTATTCCCACCCTTTCTATTCATAGAAACCATTACTATAGCTTCTATGAGAAAAGTACAATCTATGAATGGACCCATCAATCATCCGTCCGTCCCTCCTCCATTCATGCATCCTGTTTTTTTCACGTGTATAAACGTAGGGCTTAAAGCTGAACTCCGGGAAAGCATATTGGCTAAATACAAAAGGCATGTGTATTCTTACTTCTATCTTGGTGTTCTGAGTTTCTTCCAGATCTCTGATGTAGTCCAGTGTGAAATGTTGCCTTTGTGCAGGAGCTTCCTGTAATACAGAGCAGCTGATCTTGTGCAGGGTGACTGGCCTTGTATATGCCCCCCTACTCTTATTCTGCAGGCAGCCTGTAGTGGGTGGTTCTGCTGCTGGGTCCCACCCACACCTCTGCTATCTGCATAAGCTATGTACAGCACAATGCTGATATCACGGCTACTTTTACAAGTTAATACCGGAGTTTGAAAAGGCATTTGGTGCACAAAAAGTGGATTAATATCCTTTTTAGCTTTTATAGGGTGAGTTCACCTTTGGAACATGTTATATGTTCCACCTGTATTTAGGGCGGAACATGTAACATGTTCCAGCTCCTGCCCACTCTCCCCCCCCAGTCCCCCCCCCTGTGACAGGAGGCAGGAGATTTTCTCCCAACACCCACTGTCACTTTTTAAAAACAGCCTTACTGTTTGCGGCTCAGCCTACACAGCTGTGTCATTCATTCACAGATTTCTATGAATGAATAAACAAGTACTGTGTGTCACCATGGCAGACAGACTTGTAGTTTCAGTGGTCCAGCAAGGGCTCCCATGAAAGTTTTTGCACCTTGGATTCAGCTTTCATATTCATTTTAGAAAATACATTACATTGTTATTGCTCTTTTGGTGTGCAATAGACTGATACTCTTTGAAAGACTCGTAAGCAAAAGTTTAGTGAAAGGGTGTGTCATGTTATTGTAGAATCCAGAATCCTATTTTATACATACAATCACGGCCAAAAATATTGGTATCCCTGCAGTTCTGTCAGATAATCCATCACTTCACCTAGAAAATTGTTGCAATTACAAATGTTTAGGCATTCTCATGTTTATTCCTTTTGTTAGTATTGGTATGACATACAAAAGTGGAGAAACGGAAAGCCAAATCTGACACATGCCACACAACAACAACAAAACTTCAACAATGGACTGGACAAAATTATTGGCACCGTCTCAAAATTGTAAGAAATTATTGCTTTGCAAGTTTGTGATGCTCCTGTAATTTGTAATTAAACTCACCTGTATCAGTTAACAGGTGCTGACAAAGAAATCACATCGGCAACCAGTTAAAATTGTGAAAAATTGACTCAACCTTTCTGTTGTGTGTCTTTGGGTGCCTCATGGAGAATTAAAAGAGCAGCAAAGAATTGTCTGAGGATTTGAGAACAAAAATTGTGAAAAAGCATGGATAAGCTCAAGGTTACAAGTCCATCTCCAGAGATCTTAATATTCCTCTGTCTACTTTGCGTGACATTGTCAAGAAGTTTACAGCCCATGGCAATGTAGCTCCCTGGATGTGGATGAAAGAGAAATGAATTGATCAAAGATTGCAACAAAGGACTGGTGGCTAAATACCCTCTAATAACGTCCAGACAAATTCAAGCTGACCTTCAGGCACAGGGTAAAACTGTCAGCTCACACTATAGGTCACCATCTAAATGAAAAGGGATGCTGATAGGAGAGACCCAGGAGGACCTCACTGCTGACACAGAAACATAAAAAAAAAGCCAGATTTGAGTTTGCCACAACTTACCTGACAAAGCCAAAATCCTTTTGGGAGAATGTGCTGTGGACAAACGAAACAAAATTACAGCTTTTTGGTAAAACCCACCATTCTACTGTTTTCAGAAAAAGAAATGATGCCTTTAAAGAAAAATACAGTCCCTACAGTCAAACATGGTGGAGGTTCACTGATGGTTTGAGGTTGCTTTGCTGCTTCAGGCACTGGATGTCTTGACCATGTGCATGGCATTTCAATATCTGAAGACTAGCAAATAATTCTGGGGTGCAATGTAGGGCCCAGTTTCAGAAAGTTGTGTCTCCATCAGAGATCATGAGTTTTACAGCAGGATAATGAAAAACACACCAAAAAGCACCCAGAAATGGTTTAAAACAAGCACTGGAGAGTAGTGAACTGGCCAGCAATGAGTCCAGATCTCAATTCCATAGAGCACCTGTGCAGAGATCTCAAAACAGCAGTTGGGAAAAGGAACCCTTCCAATCTAAGAGACCTGAAGCCATTGGCAAAAGAGTGGTCCACAATTCCAGTAGAGAGGCGTAAGAAACTCATTGATGGTTACAGGAAGCGATTTCAGTTATTTTTTCCAAAGGGTGTGCTACCAAATATTAAATTGAGGGTGCCAATAATTTTGTCCAGTCCATTTCTGGTATTTTGCATAGACTGTGTCAAATTTGGCTTTTTGTTTCTCCTACCTGCAGAGCTTATTACGAATGTCCATATAAGAGAACATCTGGGTAGCAGTGACTAGAGATGAGCGAATTTTTCAAAAATTCGATTCGGCTGATTCGGCGAATTCCAGGAAGAAATTCGATTCGATGCGAATTAATTCGCTACGAAGTTAACTTATAAAAAGGGTTTCTAGGCTTCAGAGAGCCTTTAAATTAGTGCAGAACACTGTACCTTTAATTTAAATGCCCTTGGAGATGAGGAAGGAGAAGGAGAAGGATGAGAAGGAGAAGGATGAGAAGAAGGAGAAGGAGAAGGATGAGAAGAAGGAGAGAAGGATGAAGAAGAAGGAGAAGGAGAAGAAGGATGAGAAGAAGGAGAAGAAGGAGGGAGAAGAAGGATGAGAAGAAGGAGAAGGAGAAGGATGAGAAGAAGGAGAAGGATGAAGAAGAAGAAGAGAAGAGAAGGATGAGAAGAAGAAGGATGAGAAGAAGGAGAAGGATGAGAAGAAGAAGGATGAGAAGAAGGATGAGAAGAAGGAGAAGGATGAGAAGAAGGAGAAGGATGAGAAGAAGGAGAAGGATGAGAAGAAGGAGAAGGATGAGAAGAAGAAGGATGAGAAGAAGGACAGTTCTGTGACAGTTTCTGTCTATTTCTGACAAGTTCTGTGACATTCATGAGAAGACAGCGGGATTCAGACCGCTGTAGGATGAGAAGGAGAAGGAAGTCCCAGAAGGACAGTTCTGTCAGAAATTCTGTCTATTTCTGACAGTTCTGGGACATTCACTCCATACAGCGGTTGAAACATTGTATCTATTTGTTTCCATAAATGACATTCTGCAGATACACTTAGAGGAGCTCTGCAGATACACTTTTTGCCGGCTTGGAATTATTCTTATTTTCATCCTACTTCTTCTTCATCTTCATCCTCATCCTTCCTCTTCTTCTTCTGAGGATGAGGATGAAGAAGAAGAAGAAGAAGTAGGATGAAAATAAGATTAATTCCAAGCCGGCAAAAGTGTATAGAGCTCCTCTAAGTGTATCAGCAGAGCTCCTCTAAGTGTATCTGCAGAATAGAGGAACTCGCACATACACTTTTTGCCGGCTTGGAATTATTCTTATTTTCATCCTACTTCTTCTTCTTCTTCTTCTATCCTCATCCTCTTCTTTCTTCTGAGGATGAGAAGGATGAGGATGAAGAAGAAGTAGGATGAAAATAAGAAATAATTCCAAGCCGGCAAAAAGTGTATAGAGAGCTGCAGAGCTCCTCTAACAGCGGTGTATCTGCAGAATAGAGGAAATCTCTGCACATACACTTTTTGCCGGCTTGGAATTATTCTTATTTTCATTCTCTTCTTCTATGTCGAAATACGCGGACTTCTACATGTGTTCCTTCATGTCAGAGAACTGTCAGAAATAGCGGAGCTCTCTGCAGGGACACTTTTGCCGGCTGATCGGGAAAAATCCGATTCTTCTTCTTCGCACTTCCGAAGTAGGCAAATATCTTCGGATTCATCGCCGCGAATCGAATTTTTCCTCTTCTTCTCTTCGTATCGAATTCCGGTTCCTCGCCTGGTTCGATTCGCTCATCTCTAGCAGTGACCATCCTCATGATTTTATTTTTCCGTATGTGCATGCTGTTTCTCTATAGCTAACGGCTCCTCTTCTTCTTTCTTCTTCAATAACAATAAATGAAAACGCTCAATTTCAAGAGAGCTAACTTTCCAAAATCGGCTGATTTTATTTTCGCTGCCGATCTCCCAAGACCTTAGTCTGGGAGGGAATATTGGTGAACACAACATAGAAATGGGAGTTCTTCAAAGACTGTATGTGTGAACACACTGCAAAATATATTCCCATGGGCAACAAGTTTAAAAGGCTAAAACTCAAACCTATGTGGCTTACGGCCAAAGTTAAAAAGGCTATAGATCATAAGAAAAGAGATTTTATTCAAAATAAAAATGAAGGAACGCTATCATCGTTTAAACATTACAAAGAATATAACAGAATATGCAAAAAGGAAAGAAAAGGCCGCAAAAATTTAAATCGAACGACAGATTGCAAAAGCTAGCAGGACCAACCCAAAAAATTCTTGAAATTTATATTAATAGTAAAAAGACCATATAGATGAGGTCTTGCTGGAAAAAAATATTTTTAAGCAACAGACAGCATGGATTCATGAAAGACAGAAGCTGTCAAACAAATCTGATTTCTTTTTATGAGGGGGTGAGCAAAAGCTTGGACAGAGGGGTGGTGGTGGATGTGGTATACTTGTACATGCAAAAGCGTTTGACACAGTTCCCCACACACAGCTAATGTGTAAGGTAAAGTGTACGGGTTTGGAAAAATCCATATGTAAATGGATAGAAAACTGGCTAAAAGATCATATTCAGAGAGTAGTGGTTAATGATTCATACTCTGAATGGTCTGGGGTCATCAGTGGTGTACCCCAGTGTTCAGAGTTGGGACCCTTGATTTTTAATATATTTATAAACGATATAGGGTCTGGGATTAAAAATCCCATTTCAGTCTTTGCAGATGACACCAAGCTGTGCAGTGTAATAACGTCCTTAATGTCTTCAACTTACAAGCCAACCTCAATGCACTGTTTAATTGGGCAACTATGTGGCACATGAGGTTTAATGTTGATAAATGTAAGGTTCTGCACTTGCGGGCTAAGAATATGCATACATCGTACATACAAGGGGGGTACAACTGGGGGAATCAATGGTGGAGAAGGATCTGGGAGTTCTGGTAGATCACAAGCTTAATAATGGTATGCAATGCCAAGCTGCGCTTTCTAAAGTGAGCAAAATCCTCTCTTTTATTAAAAGTGGTAAAGACTCCAGAGAGAGAGATATATCATTTTACCCCTGTACAAATCATTAGTAAGACTTCATCTGGAATATGCAGTTCAGTTCTGGGCACCAATTCACAAAAAGAATATTGGGGAACTGGAGAAAGTGCAGTAAAGGGCAACTAAACTGATACAAGGCATGGAGGAGATCAGCTACGAGGAAAGATTAGAGGAACTGAATTTATTCTCTCTTGAGAAGAGGAGATTAAGGGGGGGATATGATCAACATGTATAAATACATCAGTGGTTCATATAGTGAACTCGGTGTAGAGCTATTCACCCTGAGGTCAACACAAAGGACAAGGGGGCAGAATAGACTCCCTCAAGAGTTGGTTCTGGTCAGCTCAGTGGATTGCTTCAAAAAAGGCCTGGATTGTTTCTTAGATAAACAGAATATAACTGGATACTAACATTTATAGGTTGATCCAGGGAATATCCAATTGCCTCTTGGGGAATCAGGAAGGAATTTTTTTCCCAGCAGGAGCAAATTGGATCATGCTTTGCTGGGGGTTTTTTTTTTGCCTTCCTCTGGATCAACTGTGGGTATAGCATTATAACTTTTTTTTCTCTATGGTTGAACTGGATGGACTTTTGTCTTTTTTCAGCCAGACTGACTATGTAAGTATGTAACAATACAAACAAAAGAAATAAACATGAGAATGCCTAAACATTTGTAATTGCAACAACTTTCTGGGCGAAATGGTGCATTATCTGACAGAAATGCAGGGGTGCCATAATTTTTGGCTATGACTACTGTTAAAATAAAAGTATCAGTGAGCATGGGTAGATATCTGTGTACTCACCTTGGGGTTTATCTGGACAGCCTCTTCATTGTAATGCAGAGAAGCAACATGACCAGAAGCAGACACGTTCACCAGTATCTGAAGACAGGGGTATTTGGATTGGCCATGGCAGTCTACACCACAGGTGAAAGAACAGTCCACCCAGTCATCCATTATATCCGCCTGGATAATTGTGCAGTTGGACTCTTCATTCCATACACTGATAGACAGAAAAAAAAATCTTTTCAGATGAAGTTTATCATCATGCACTATTGCTGCAAAACCATACATATAAAACCATATATATATTGTGGGGGGTCTATTGAGCTTTAAAACTATTTGCTGACATTTGATATATCAATGTTACAGGTTCTAGTTATTGTTAAAAGTGCTGAGGCCTCCATGTATTTTTATAAACATCTACAATATTGCTTGAATTTGGGAGATTTATTAAAGGTGATATTTTATTTGCACTCTACTACAGATCTTAATTAGTTTTTACTTCTCTTGTTTAAAACATAAAATATGCTAAAATGTCAAATAAAGGAAATATGAAGAAATGATTAGCAGAAAATAGCGGTTAGAGTTGAGCCCAAAAATGGCAAGCCAATAGATGCAGTCAGTTCATATCCACAGAACTTGGTTTATGACATACACTATATTGCCAAAACTATTGGGACCCCTCTCCCAATAACTGGATTCAGGTGTTCCAATCACCTCCATGCCACAGGTGTATAAAATAATCACCTAGGCAAGCAGACTGCTTCTACAAACATTTGTGAAAGAATGGGTTGCTCTCAGGAGCTCAGTGAATTCAAGCTTGGTACCGTGATAGGTTGTAACCTGTACAATGAGTCTATCCATGAAATCTCCTTGCTACTAAATATTCCATGGTCAACTGTTAGTGGTATTATAATAAAGTGGAAGCAACTGGGAACAACAGCAACTCAGCTACATAGTGGTAGGCCACATAAAATGACCGAGTGGGGTCAGCGCATGCTGAAGCGCACAGTGTGCAGATGTCGCCATCTGTCTGCAGAGTCGATAGATAAAGACCTCCAAACTTTGTGTGGCCTGCAGATTAGCACTACAACAGTGTGTAGAGAGCTTCATAGAATGGGTTTCCATGGCCGAGCTGCTGCATCCAAGCCTTGCATCACCAAGTGCAATGCAAAGCAAAGCGTTGGATAGAATGGTGTAAAGCACACTGCCACTGGACTTTTGAGCAGCGGAGATATGTTCTCGCGCTTCTCTGGCAGTCCGCTGGACATGTCTGGGTTTGGCGGTTGCCAGGAGAATGGTACCTTGGTACCAATGACTGCGTAGTACATAGTTTGGTGGAGGAGGGATTTCAGGGGTTGGGCTTGGCCCCTTAGTTCCTGTGAAGAGACCTCTTAAGGTGTCAGCATACAAAGACATTTTGGACAATTTCATGCTCCCAACTTTGTGGGAACAGTTTGGGGATGGCTCTTTCCTGTTCCAACATGACTGCGCACCAGTGCACAAAGCAAGGTCCATAAAGATGAGCGAGTTTTGCGTGGAGGAACTTGACTGGCTTGCACAGAGTCCTGCCCTCAACCTAATAGAACACCTTTGGGATTAATTAGAGCAGAGACCGCGAGCCAGGCCTTCTTGTTCAACATCAGTGCCTGATCTTACAAATGCGCTTCTGGAAGAATGGTCAAACATTCCCATAGACACACTCCTAAACCATGTGGACAGCCTTCCCAGAAGAGTTGAAGCTGTTGTAGCTGCACAGGGTGGGCCAACTCCATATTGAACCCTACAGACTAAGACTGGGATGCTATTAAAGTTCATGTGCAAGTAAAGGCAGGTGTCCCAATACTTTTGGCAATATAGTGTAGCTGTAGTTTTTACCTGTTGGTCCTAACACATGCAATTTATTTTTTAAGCATGTTAAAAATTGCAGCATTCTCTTTTTCCATGACTTAGCCATACTTTGGTGTTTGCTTATAAATATGATTCTGACTGGTGCTGAGTTTAGCACACTTGCTGTAACATGTAATATAATCAGGTAACAAGAGGCTTTTTGTACTTCTAAAGAAAAAATGTAATCCTGAGACTTACTTGAGCATGAAGGGTTTCAGTATTGCGATCCCCAGTAAAAAGAACATCAGTACTGAAAGGCCCATCATAGTGAATCCCAGCAGCATGGCTCTGTCTTCCCCAGCATTGGACACTTGCTTCTTCATCTTATCAGATGTCTTCACCCCATCACTGCCACTCTCTTTCCTCTTCACCTTGCCGGGTACTGGAGAAAAGGCTTCCCTTTGAAATAGCAGAGAATCCCGTTATCATATGCACATGTTTAAATTGATATACAAGATAAATACATTCCATTGTATGCAAAAATTTTTGTGGTCATATCCCCAGAGCTTTATAATAAAATGTTTCAATAGAGCCTTTGCTGTAATATTTGAAAAAACGAATACTTAATGCAATTTAAAAAAAGATTTCTTCTTTTGCCTTGTTCTGCCAGGAATGTTTCAACTAGTTTGCCTTTACCAAAAAAACTGCCTATGATATAAGGGGCATCTGTAGATAAAAACAAAGTGTGCAGCTCTGAGCAAAGTTGAAAAATGCCCTTGCTATAGGTGTAGGCCAGTTATGTACTTCATGAAGCCTGACTGGAAGACTCCCAGAACATTGATAAAGACATTGTGCTAAGAGAGGCCTAGCTGTTAATGTTCACCTTCATTATCACAGAAGTGAGCTCTCAAATACTGAGCGCAGAGCTACTGCATCTGGGGGAGAAAGTGCATGTTAGCTGGTTTGAATCGGAGGAAGAACTCACTCCTGGGATGATAAAGGTGAACAGTAGCTGCTAGGCCATAGTTGCCAACAGTCCTGAAATGCCTGGGACATTCACAAACTTTGAACAGCTGTCCCAAGATGACCTTGTCCCGGGCTGAGTCCCGGAAATCAAGGTCTGTGATGGACAACTGTAAACTAGTGTATTCAAAACAGGGGCAACACAAAGGTGCTGCTGCACAGGTTGCACTCATATCAGACATCCATGCGGCACACCCATATCCCTCTCTCTACTTCCTCCAGCTCCCCAGCAGCAAAGCTGTTCAGTGACTCTTAGTATTGGGAACTTTGATGCAAGGAAGTAAGGTGGAGCCTGCCTTGTAGTGTGATTGGTGGGACTAGTGAGGGGACATAGCTAGCCTCTGAGGGGTGATTACACCAGCCTGGCTTGAGCTTGGTCAGGTTCCACACGAGACAGTGGGAGGCTGCAGCGTGGACCTGCCTAGAGGAGATGCAGTGAGCAGACCCGACCAGAGAACTCACTAAAGGCACACTTTATTAAATGTAAAGTGTTATTAGGTCCAGGGCCCTGCATTCACTATATCTGGTCTTTCACAGTAAACACAACATGGAAATGCAGTTATTTTAGTAAATATAAACTGCTAAATACCTTTTCTCAACAGCAGTGAATAGCAGTCTTGTGACTTCTGTCAGTGTTTGGCAGAGCACTGCTTAAGCTAGTAGAAGTTTTTATTTACCTCTGACTGACCTATGAGGCTGCATGACCGCTGACCCTCTGTCTGGACAGTGCTCATTGGCCCTGTGCTGATCACACATGCACCCTTCCAAAGAAAAACTCTAGCAATACACACCAGAGCATGTGCAGACTTACCACAGCTTCTCTATACTGTGGCAGATGGATTGGGGACAGTAAAAGAAGGGGAGGATCAGAGAAGCCCGGATCAAACAGCCTTTTTTTTTATGTGGAGGATTAACCCCTTCAGTTCCACAGTGAGTATAACAAGCATGCTTTACTGCATATACAGACTGAGTTTACTGTTGTGGATTTAATAACATTTTAAATGTTTTCTATGCTATCTCTTTATCTCTGGCAATTTGGAAGAGCTGCAATCTCAGTATGACAGCTTATCCTGCTCTGTATATTAGAAGTCACTGTCAGTGCTCCTGATACACATGGCTGGACCAGCTATCAAATTACAGGTCAGACCTGCAGGACTAGAAGAGAAGCTCTCATTATATACAGTACAATCTGCAGAGTTTGGCTGTTAGTTTGATATGCTGGCTGTGAAACTGCCAGCCAAACCATGCAGATTACACAAGGATTGCTGCTCTCCCAATATAAATTGCAAGGCTTGTGCGTTACTTTGACAAGTGGTCTTGAAAGATGCATCAGGAACTGGTTTCAAAGTGACAGAGTCCTGCAAGTAAATTGTGGCAAAAAGTGGAAACGAAACATAGGCAAGGGCTTGGGCTCAAATTGCAATTACAGTCCCCAGCAAGGTCAGGGGCTCTAAGTGTACAGCCTACCCAGGTCACCTGACTCCTCACACCTTGGACCTGACTACGTATAACATGGTGAATGTGTCCCTCCTGCACAGACATCCTACCGAAGAATGGAGCCATCATCTCCATCCTGTACACAATGTAATCTCCTTACAGCCATCTCCATTGAGTCATCTCAATCCAGTAATCTCCTTCCTGTACACAGTGTAATCTCCATCCTGTAATCTGCACCCTATACACAGGCATCTCCATCCCGTCCTCTCCATCCTGTACAGAGTCCTCTCCATCTATCCATCTCCATCCAGTCCACACAGTCATCTGTCTAGTCTGGCTTTGGATGGATATTTGAGTACCATACATGTATAGTAAACTACCCACTCATCCTTGCTTATGTGTATGGAAAGCTGGAATGGCTTCCGTTCAGTGGAAAGTTGAAAATTGTGCTTGTGCTCTTAGTGGCTGATCACATGCTGAAATGTCTTTGTATGCTGTTGTAAGCACTTGTAGATGTCAGACTCAATTGCTAACACCCTTTATTTAACCCATACATGCATTACAATCACATTACAAGGATTACACTTGAATCTCACATTGTTTGATATTATCATGGCATGGTGGACACATTTCGGGATGAACAGAAACATTACAGTCTAATTGTTCAATTTTTATTTTGAAACTATGAAATACAAGGGCCTATTCAGCTGTATAAAAATGTAATGTATTGTTTATGTAGGCCCATGTACTACATAATTTTAGTCAAATCTTAAAGGTGATTGTACAGCAATTTTACAATAAGTTTGCAGCATGTGAATCCAGCATTACAGAACAGATTGTTATATATTTCTGCCATTTTGCCTATATAAGTGTACAATTTAAAATATCTCCTGGGTTAATATCAATATTCATATTGAACACCCTCCTCGGAGAGCCTGTTTCTGATTTGACGCAGAGTTCTCTCAAGATTTGGATGGCTATTTTTGAGATGGAGGAGTTACAGGGGTTAGACAAAAAAAAAAAGGAAATCCAAGAATAAGAAAGAAGACTGAGATTGAGTTCTGCAGTCACTTTTACAGCAGGTTTTTTCTTATTCTGGGTCACAATCCTGCTCGATGTCCTTTTGTCTCTTTCGGTCAGTTTCAACTGCACTTATCAGACTACGTTTTCCCGGAAACTGTATATGCCTTCATAACCTTTGATACTGTACTTCGCGCAGCAAATAAATTGACAACTTCAGGCACCAGATAAGCGGGTACCAACAATTTTCCCTCGAAGCTCAGTAAGCTCTGACATGGCTCCGTATTACTTGTAGCGCATGCAGTGAATGACAAAAGTGAGGCTAGCTAGGTGTCCCATCACACAGCAAAAGAAGGTTGCATCACTTCTGCTTTCAATGCGAAACATGTCATCACTCAAATCTGAAAATCATGCAGTGTTTCTAAACCGCACATATCATCAGATGTGAACACCATAAAATCCTGACCTGAGCCTGATCTACAACCTGCCCTGAACCGCTGAACAACTACTGTCTCCAGTAGTTGTGAAACCTGAGCTCCAATCTGCACCGCACATGTGTGTATCCACACAAAGTGCATACTCACACCCGAAGTGTCCAACTTCAACCCTTACAGTTCTGTCATTGGTACTTCAGTGTGCTACTACAAACAAATGTTCCTGTCTATCACGTACCTGGATAGTGAGCATGACGTGAAGAGGCAGGCCTCCCGTACAGCTCTGGCTCAAGGGCTACTGATAGTGGGACAGTGCCACAGGAGCACGGCAAGGTAGGAGTGCCTGTTATCAGTCCAGTAGTTGGTGTTCCAGCAGTAGCTGGCGGGCAGACTGTTGGCAGAGAGCAGAATCCGGGTGCAGCCACATGGATGAATCGCTGGGGAGCAAGGTGGAGGATGTGAGGTCAGACGAGCTGGGTTGGTAGCAGTCGAACAGATCAGGCATAGATGGCAGGAGGTAGTGTAGTCGGTTCACAGGACAGGTCGGCAGTAGAGGATTAATTACACAAGAGCAGGAGACAAGAGTTAATCCAAGACAAGCCAGAGGTCAGGACAGGTAGCAGACCAGCGGAGGTTAGGAACAAGCTGGTTCAGGATCAGGAGTCGAGCACAAGGATCAGGATACACATGCAGGGGCTAAAGACCAAACGGCAAGGAGACATTAAATGCAGCCGGTTTAAATAGGCCTTTTGGCGCCAGCATTAGTGACAGGCCTGTGCCTAGATGCGTGAGTGTACATCTGCGCGTGCGCCTACACCCAAGTACATCTGTCTGGCCTGTCATTGTTATGCACATATTTGTGTGCCGCAAGTCTTCACCTGTACTCTGGGCAAGCCTTTCCTGACACTGTCACCTAAGGGTTTCTAGGAAGTGCACACTTTCTCTTGAAGCCAGATGATGATGCGCGGATGCTTACTACAACCTGTTGCTAAGAGCATATATTTGACTGCATGCTATTACTGGGGTCTAGGCATAATTAAAACATGCCTGCCATCAAGGATGTACCAATAGCTATAGCAGACCAGACTGCTGAGGACACAGAAGAACCAGGACCTTAGTGCAGTCTGGTGTTATAATTTATTTATTCAGAAAGCAATAGCATCTGGCAAGTAGTTCTGGATAAAAAGAATGTATATACAGTTTTCACAATTCCACCAGGTTGCTATAAGAGTTTCATGACAGTACTAGGTTTGGAAGAGCACAGGTCCTTGTAGTAATATTGTGCAATAGAATGTCAAGTAATAATTTGGGGTCCTGTCATATACAGTTAGGTCCATATATATTTGGATACAGGCACAACTTTAGTTTTTTTCTAGTATTTACCAGAACATATTCAAGCTATAGTACTATAATGGATATGGGCTGAAGGTGTATACTCTCAGGTTTAATATGAGGCTACGTACATCCAA